GATGATGCTGATGACGATGACGATGATGATGCTGCTGATGATAATGATGATGATGCTGGGGAGGAGGGATAGAAGGAAGAGGAGGAGGACTAACATACTATCATTATCCCTGGTCATACGACCAGGAATGCTAATACGGTGATCCAAGTCGCGGATTATTGTATGGGTGGTTATACTAAAACGGATATTCTTGCATTGTCAGTTGCATCTATCATTATTAATGATAGGACTCGGAGTAGTCAAATTCGTCTAATGAGTATACAACGACTTCGAATGCTACGACTACTACTACTGTTACTACTACGACTACTACTACTACTACTACTACTACTACTACTACTACTACTACTACTACTACTACTACTACTACTACTACTACTACTACTACTACTACTACTACTACTACTACTACTACTACTACTACTACTACTACTACTACTACTACTATACTACTACTACTGTACTACTACTACTGCTACTACTACTACTACTACTACTACTACTACTACTACTACTACTACTACTACTACTACTACTACTACTACTACTACTACTACTACTACTACTACTACTACTACTACTACTACTACTACTACTACTACTACTACTACTACTACTACTAGTACTACTACTACTACTACTACTACTACTACTACCACTACTACTACTACCACTACCACTACTACTACTACTACTACTACTACTACTACTACTACTACTACTACTACTATTACTCATGCTAGTAGCACCACTGATGCGACTACTAACAATAGGACTGATACGACTAGCCATCCCAATAATACTGATATTCGCACTAAACATGCCAACACGAACAACAGTATAACTGATACTGCGAACCCTGATACTGATACTCAAGACGACGAAGAACGACGAGGGGGGAGTAATGATCATTAGATAAAAGAAGAAGAACTGATACGACACATACGAGAAAATACTCAGAAGAAAACGAAGCATGACGACTCATACGAATACTACGCATAGGAAGAACAAGAGAGGGATCGCTGGGGTCCGGTCGTGTCGCCGGCCTCGCGAGGACGCCCAGCGGGCCGCGGAGGAGGCCCTGGAGGCGGTCAGGCGGGAGACCCAGAAGGCAGCGGGCTTGCCACGCAGACGACGGCGGAGATTGGAGGAGAAGGAGGAGAAGGAGCGAGGAGGAGGAGGAGGGAGGAGGAGCGAGGAGGAGGAGGAGGAGCGAGGAGGAGGAAGAGGAGGAGGAGGAGGAGGAGGAGGAGGAGGAAGAGGAGCGAGGAGGAGGAGGAGGAGGAAGAGGAGGAGGAGGAGGAGGAGGAGGAGGCTGCGCCTGCGCTCGCCCTGGCGGTCCCCGGGCGCCAGCGCGGCAGCGGACCCACCGCATCGTCGGGCGGGCTCGGCAGCGGCTCCCGGGGGCGCGGCCCTGGCCGTTCGCGGCGCCGTCCGCGGCCAGCGGCGCTGGTGTTCGGGGTTCCGACGTGACGGACGTGCTCTTCCTCTCTGAGACTCTGCGTTCGCGTGGGCCTTGGCGTGTTCGTGCGTGCACGCGGGCTTGCTTCCTTGCTGCCCCCCGCCGCCCTTCGCTTCCCCTTCTCCTGCCAGATCCCCTCCCCCATCCCCTTCCCGTCGCCGCCGCTCTCCTCCGCCTTGCTGCCCATGCCAGGGAAACATCAGGATCCATGAGGGCACATGGTGATCGTTTTTCATTCCTGGTTTTGCCGATCGGCGCGGGCCTTCAAGCCAAGCCCCCCCTCCCCCCCCGGAGGAGATCTTGGCTGTTTTTTGGGCGACTGTTTCGAGCAGGCGGAGGCTCCCCCGTAGGACGCACGGCTGCAAACAGCCGCACTAGGCAGAGGCCCGGAGCCAGAACGCCCGTCCTCCCCCCCGCTTCCGCCCAATGTCGAAACGCCGAAGAAGAAAACGTTCACATGAGGGCACACGGTGATCGCGCAGAGCCGGGCTGGCGCAGTCCCCAAGGGCGCCCACCAAAGTGCTTCAAATCCGGAGGCTCGCCCTCTCCGGAGCGGCACGCGCAGGTCGTTTGGACACTCTGCCGGAGCCCCACCATTCTGGGGCAGGGGCTTTAGGAGGAGGATTAGGAGGAGGAGGAGGAGGAGGAGGAGGAGGAGGAGGAGGAGGAGGAGGAGGAGGAGGGGGAGTCCGATCTTGGCCCAGAGTGTCGGTCCCAAATGTGTATTGTATTGGGAAGGCCTAGCGGCCTGAGCCGCCGATCCTGAAGGGGGACGGCGACGACGGCGGCGGCGGCGGCGGCGACGACGACGACGACGCTGACGCTCTGGAGCCTTTCTTGGAGCAGGGGCTTGAATGCCACGCCCGATATTCGCCCAGAGTCTCGGTCCCAAATGTGTATTTTGGAGCATTCGAGTCTAGAGTGCCTCAGAGCAGGAATGGGTGGTGAGAAAGGAGAGCAGCAGGAGGAGGAAAGTTATCAGTAAGAGCAGGGGGATGATGAGGAGGAGGACCACGAACGCCCGCTGCGTCTTCAACGACGCTGTTGTAATACGTATGGCCCCGCGTCCCCTCTGAACAAGCCCCTGCAAGCATTTGCTCCCAATGCCGGAAGCCTCTTCCCTGTGGGCCGGCAGCTCGGGCGAACAGTCCGCGATGCAACACGAGGCCTCGATCCGTGACTGCGCTGCACGGCATCGTGGCCGCGAATCTGAAGCAGCACGCGCCCGAGCAAGCTCCCACAGTCCGGAGAGGGAGCCGCCGCCCATCCGCCGACGCGTCCACGCCCAGGTGCTCAAAGCATGGTGGCGGCAACCCGCCCCCTGTCTGCCCAGGCGTCGGGCAGCTCGGGGAGAGGGTTGCGCGGCGAGAGGGCGAGGCCCGGAAGCTGCAGGCCGCCTCGCGCCACGAGCGTGCGGGGCGCGGGAAGGGAGGGCCACGACGGCACGTCACGGCTCGGGGGGGGTGCGAGAGGTGCCCCCGGCCCAAGGTGCCCCCAGCTTCTCGCTCCGTGTTCGGAGCTCCTGGGGCCCGCCGGGCATCGCGAGGGGTGCTCTGGAGGCCTCTGGGGCCTCCCTGGGAATCTTGGGGGCACCTTGGGCCAGGGGCACGTCCATCAACACCCGAACAGCATGTCCATCCGCACAACCAGTTTGAAGCGTGTGAAGCGCATCGGTGTGAAAATGCGGCTGCCACACTGCGAGCCATCCGTGTCACTGTCGTCGAGAGCTTATTGACGCATCAGAGCCATGCAGCCCGCAGAGGAGGTCTCGAGCAGCAGGGCTGGACCTGAACGCTGTCTTGCTGGGCTTCGGCTGGGCTTTGTTTTTTGTTCCGGCAGGGAGGTGCAGGAAGACAGGTTTCAGATGCAACTCTTGGGAGGTCAAATTCTAATTTTCCCGTGGTCCGAAATCTGCTCAATCCGGCTTAATCCCGTTTAATCTGGCTTCATCCTGCTTAATCCGGTTTATTCCCGGTTAATCCGCGGCCTAATCCTGCGTAGTAGCCCCCCAGTGGGGCTTAAGTCTCCTTAATCTTTCCGACGAAAACCTCACAGTAATTGCCTCCTAAACAGGTAGAGCAAAAGCGAGCAACGAAACGAAAACGCAACGAAACGCACAACGCCTAGGTCCAGCCCTGCCGAGCAGCACGCCCTGTCCCCCCCCCTGGCCGACCTGCGCTCGGCGGTGCGGCGAGGAGGGGGTTCCGCGCGCGCGGCGGCGGCAGGCGCTGGAGATCGCCCAGGCCGAGTCGGCCCGCCTGGCCGAGGCCGCGCAGTCCCAGGCGCAGGACCGCCGGGCCTCGCCCAGGATGGTGGGGGGAGGGAGGGAGGGGGCGAGGGGGAGGAGCGAGGGGGGAGACCGATGAGGGGAGGGGGGCAGGAGGAGGAGGAGGAGGAGGAGGAGGAGGAGGAGGAGGAGGAGGAGGAGGAGGAGGAGGAGGAGGAGGAGGAGGAGGAGGAGGAGGAGGAGGAGGAGGAGGAGGAGGAGTGAGGGGGAGGAGGAGGAGGAGGAGGAGGAGGAGGAGGAGGAGGAGGTATGAGGAGGAGGAGGAGGAGGAGGAGGGGGAGGGGGAGGAGGAGGAGGAGGAGGAGGAGAGGAGGAGAGGAGGAGGGAGGGGAGGGGAGGAGGAGGAGGAAGGAGGAGGAGGAGGGGGAGGGGGCAGGGGGAGAGGGGAGGAGGAGGAGGAGGAGGAGGAGGAGGAGGAGGAGGAGGAGGAGGAGGGAGGAGGAGGAGGAGGAGGAGGAGGAGGAGGAGGAGAGGAGGAGGGGGAGGGGGGAGGGGGAGGGGGGAGGGGAGGAGGAGGAGGAGGAGGAGGAGGAGGAGGAGGAGGAGGGAGGAGGAGGAGGAGGAGGAGGAGGAGGAGGAGGTGGGGAGGAGCGAGGGGGGAGACTCTCTCCCTTTCTCTCTCTCTCTCTCTCTCTCTCCCGCCTCCTGCCTCCTCTCTCCGCCCGCTCCTCGGTTTTTGCCCTCCTCTCTTCCTCCGTCCTGCGTCGTCCCTCCTTCCACCTCCTCCCTTCCGCTTCCCGCATCGCCGTCATCTTTGTCCTTCTCCTACTTCTCGTCGCCGTCCTCCTCCTCCTCCTCCTCCTCCTCCTCCTCCTCCTCCTCCTCCTCCTCCTCCTCCTCCCCTCGTCGTCGTCGTCGTCGTCCTCCTCCTCCTCTTCCTCCTCCTCCTCGGATTTGTCGTCGACGTCCTCGTGCTCCTCCTTCTCGTCCTTCTCATCCGTATGGCCCGTAGCCATTTGGCCTCGAGTATTACATGTTGCGCGCTTGTACTCGGTTTCGTGTCTGTGCGACCCCCCAGGGGCGCGCGGGGTTCAGCTCGATATTGCACATCGTGAGCGTTGCCAAGGCGGCGCGATGCGCAGCGCATCGCTGTCCGCGCACGCCGACTCCGTGCGAGCGGCGGCGGAACTCGTCCAGGAGCTCGGCGGCGCGGCTGGCGAGCCCTCGGGCGGCGTGTTGTAACCGTTCGAGGACGTCCTGCGTTGTGGAGGACAATCCATGGAGAGGAAGCATGTTGCCAGATCATTTCCAGATATGTATGTTTAGAACATGTTCCCACATGTTAAGCATTTAAAAACATCAGTTCGATGACAGGACTGTTCGGGTGTCTACTGTCGTGGCATCCGCAAGTCCTGCGGCAGGCGGGCGTGGCGCCCGGTCTGCCCCGGCGGGGCCGCCTCCGAGGCTGCCCGCGGCGCACGGGGCGGGCGGCGCCGCCAGGCGGCGAGGGGGGCGGCCCGGCAGGGCGTCGGCGCGCGGCCGGTGCAGGGGCGCACGCCGTCGCGGCGTCATTTGGACTTCCGGGTGGCCTGCCCCACGACAGGAGGGATGGTCGAACGTAGGCCAAAAACTTGTGCGGGGGCTATATATTTTTCGGCTATTCTTGAGCATCTGGGGGGCACGTCTGGAGTATTCTCATGTTTCGTCCACACCTAGGGGGACAGGCCCGACCTAAACTTGGACCTCTTCGGTCCGCGGAGGATCGGGGGGCGCGTAGTGGGGGGGGCGATGGATGAGTGGTGTGTCGAAGCGGGGGTGACGCCCACGTGCGGGCTGCGCCATTGGGACCCTGGGTGGAGTTCGCGATGGGGTCAGGAAGCGTGTCAGGGGTGTGCCGAAGCGGGGGTGACGCCCACATGCGGGCTGCGCCACTGATGGGAGGAGGAAGGAGGGCCAGGAGGAGGAGGAGGAGGAGGCGGAGGAGGAGGAGGAGGAGGAGGAGGAGGAGGAGGAGGAGGGACGCCGGGCATTGGGGGGTAGCGAGGGCTGCAGAAATGTATAAAAAAGGGGCCCTTTAGGGCCCAGAGGGGGGCGCTCGAGCCCGAGGAGGGCACCCTTCTCCCCCTCCCCCTCATGTGCTCATGTGCCGTCTCCCCACATGAATTCGCGCCCAAGACGAGGTCCTGGCCGCGCTCGGGATGGTCACAGGCACGCCGGTCGCTGGAGATAGGAATGGTTGGGATGCCTAGGTCCCACTCTACTCCAGACGCCTTCTACCTCAAGAGTGGAGTTGTCTTCCCTCTTCCCTCGTCCTCAGGGGGCGGGCCCAGGTCTTCCCTCAAGATGGGAATTGTTGGATGCCCAGGTCCCACTCTACTCCAGGCGCCTTCTGCCTCAAGATCGGGGGAGCGTAAGACCCGGGTTTGCCAGGACTCGGGTTCGCCACCATTTTTTGACGACCGCGCCTCGGATTTTGACGAGTAGGAGTTTCGTGGGATGTCTGCAGCGGGAGGCCTCGTCAAAATGCGGGCTCGGCCTCGTCATTTTTTTTGACGACCTCGTCGGGGATTTCCGAGTCCCCCGTACCCGGGTCTTACGTCCCCCCGACAAGAGTGGAGTGGTCTTCCCTCTTCCCTCGCCCTCGGGGGGCGGGCGGGAGCTCTGCTTTCAGCGCCTTCCTGCTTCATGTTTCTGCCCACGGGGCGGCAGCGAAGGCTGCAGATCAAGGGCCCTTCTGGGACGCTACGTGGGCCCTGTAGAGCCCCCGAGGGGGCCTCTCTATAGGGCCCGACAAATGCGCCTTTCTGTCCCCACGTTTGTCGACCTCGTTACTTCGCGCTCGACGCGAGGTCCTGTCCGAGCTCGGGAAGGTCACGGGTACGGGTTCCTCTGCTTCGGGGGGCGACGCGTGCGGTGCTCGCGAGCACCACTTGGAGTCTCCCTGGGCGGTGGCCGCCCAGCGCCGCGGGTGGCAAGACCGTGCAGCGACGTGGTCCGTTCCCTGTGCCTCGCCAGTGGCTTGGCATCGCTCAGAAGTTTGTAGTATTTTTCCGGCGAGGGACATCGTGGAGCATCTTGGAGCATCCTGTGGAGAAACGCACGCACGAGGTCGACAAATGCACCTGGGAATGGGCATCCGAGCGACGGCAGGATGGCGCGACGATGGGCTCGTCCTCGGCGTCGTAATGGGCATGACAGGGATCGGGTAGAGGAGGTGATGTCTGAATGTGTGCGGCCCGCATCAGCAGCCCGAGCTGGTAAGCTCTGCAACGACCTCTGAGGCCGAGCCGCTGAAACGGCATTTTTCTTTTTCACTCCTCGTCCTCCTCCTCCTCCTCCTCCTCCTCCTCCTCCTCCTCCTCCTCCTCCTCCTCCTCCCCTTCCTCCTTAGCAGGGTTAGTGCAGGGTAGCCAAAGGGGCATTATTCTCTTGCACAGCTGTGCTCTAGAGCTCGGACATCTTTATTTTCGTTGTGGTTCGTGGTGGTTCGTCCCCCTCGCCCCCCCCCCCTGAGCCTGAGCCCCAGCTCCCCTGGGCCACCCCGCCTTGGGGCCCCCCCTCCGTCCAGGCTTCCCAGGCCAGCCCCCCTGGGCCGCGGACCCTTTATTTTCGTCGTGGCTCGTGGTGGTTCGTCCCCCTCGGCCGCCCCCCCTGAGCCTGAGCCCCAGCTCCCCTGAGCCACCCACCCTTGGGAGCCGTCCTCCGTCCAGGCTTCCCAGCTCCCCTGGGCCACCCCCCCTTGGGACAGGGAGGAGCTGGAGAAGTTGGAGGAGGAGGAGGAGGAGGAAGAGGAGGAGGAGGAGGAGGAGGAGAAGGAGGAGGAGGAGGAAAAGGAGGAGGAGGAGGAGGAGGTGAAGGCGGCATGAGGCGAAGACCAAAGTACAGATAATTCTCGGAGCTCCGCGCGGATTTCTTGCATCTGCGCTGAGGCCCCCCTGGCGGCGCCTCCGGCGCCAAACCTGGGAGATCCAGCGCCGATCCAAAGAATTCGCGCGGACCTCACGACACTGCGTTCATGCATGTTTTGGATCTTCCAGGCGGAGGAGGAGGAAAAGAAGGAGGAGGAGGAGGAGGAGGAGGAGAAGGGAGGAGGAGGAGGAGGAGGAGGAGGAGGAGGAGGAGGAGGAGGAGGAGGAGCAGGAGGAGAGGAGGAGGAGGGGGAGGAGGAGGAGGAGGAGGAGGGAGGAGGAGGAGGAGGAAGGAGGAGGAGGAGGAGGGGAGGAGGAGGAGGAGGAGCAGGAGGCGGCGGAGGAGGAGGCGGCAGAAGGACTGAGGAGCAGCAGCATCGGCAGCGTCAGGAGGAGGACTCGAGGAGAGCCTCGTGTCCCCTTCGGCCTCGGCCGCCCCGCGATTCTCGCAGGAGCTGGCGGACGCTGCGCAGCCCCTGGCCGAGAAGGCGCTCGTCGTCGTCGTCGTCGCGGCCGTCGGTCATCGTCGATCGAGGCTGGCAGCTCAAGGATCGTCGATGGATCGAAGATCGAGAGCGAGGATCGAGGCTCCATCGAGGCTGGCTCGACGCTCGGTCGTCGATCGATCGAGGCTCGTTGCTCGAGGCTCGATCGAGGATATCGATCGTCGATCGAATCTCGAAGATCGTTGATCGAGCGAGGATCGAGGATCCGACACTCTAGGATCGAGGTTCGAGGGCGTCTTCGGGCCGTGGGGGGCCTCCAGTGGGGGACCTCCAGGGAAGCCCATCGTCGCCACGGCTGAGTTCCCCGTCGGAATTCTGGCCAGAGCGCACCCCTGGACAGGTCTGGCCTCTTCTTCTCCTCCTCCTCCTCCTCCTCCTCCTCCTCCTCCTCCTCCTCCTCCTCCCTCTTTTCTCCTTCCTCCTCCCTCCCTGCTGCTCCTCGTCCTCCTCCTCCTCCTGGTACCTCCCCCTTCCTCCTCCGTCCTTCTCCTCCCTCTTCCTTACTCCTCCTCCTCCTTCCTCCTTCCCTCTCTCCCTCCTCCTCCTTCTCCTCCTCCTCCTCCTCCTTCCTCTCCTCTCCTCTCCTCCTCCTCCTCCTCCTCCTCCTCCTCCCCTCCTCCTGACGCTCCGACCGTGGCGGGGGACCTTGCGGCCTCGGGGCCGACGAGCGGGGGGGGGGGGTGGCTCCAGGCGGGGGGGGGCCTCCAGGCCGGCCGGGGGGGGGGGGAAGCTCCAGGCGGGGTGGTGGCGGGGCAGGGGCCTCCGCGGGGCCCCCGAGGGGCGGCCTCTTGGCCCGCGCAGGGCTGCGATGGGCCGCCCCGGCTGCGGGGCACTGTCCTGCGGGCTCCGCCTCCCGCCCTCCCTCCTCCCGCATCTTCTTCTCTTCGTTGTTTTCGGTTGGTGTCTCTCTCCCTCCCTCTCCCTCTCTCTCTTTATCTCTCTCTCTCTCTCTTTATCTCCTCCCGCACTCCCTCCGTCCTACTCCCTCCTCCCTCCTCCCTGAACGTTCCCATGTCCTCCTCCCACCTGCCTCCCCCTCGGCGAATCTCCTTCCTGGGAAGCCGGGTTACAGCCAGCTGTAGCGCTGAAGCCAACAAAGGACCAAGTGACTTCCATCCTCTCTCTCTTCCATCCCCGTTCTCCTGCATTTCCTCCTCCTCATCCTCCTCCTGCCTCCTCCATCCGCGATGTTGCCTCCTTGAGGCCGAGCAAGAACTAGCTGTCGCACTCCAGTCACCAAGAGAGCGTTTTTGTTTTTCCTCTGGCGGGTAACGCTTGTTACCCGGCCCCCCGTCGGGTAACGCTAACGATCCTACGTTTTTGGGGGCTGGAGGGCGGACCCTCCTGCTCTCAGCAGGTATGGCGCTGTGCTCACAGGCATGGCGTGGTGCTGAAAGGCATGTGTGGTGCTCACAAACGTGTTGTGGCGTTCGCAGGTTCCCCACCTGCTGCGGCGCCGAGTTCACATGCATGGCGTGGTGGTAAAAGGAATGTTTCGGTGCTCACCTGCCTGTTGTGGCGCCTGCAGGCTATTGCAGTGCGCGGACTAGTGTGTTTTACGTCTGCATCCCTATGTTCTCTTCCCCTACTCTTCCTACTGATGGAGCTCTGTGCTGCCAGGGGATTCCGCAGCCATGTCTGGGTGGAGCAACGGTTATCCCGCGTCTGTTGCAATTGGCGCTGACGAAGGCGAGGCGACGTCAAACGATGCCATGAGTGCAGTTGCTGTATGGCATAACGTAATCCTACCTCCTCCCGCCTGCTCCACCGCCTACTAATATCCTCCCCATTCTTCGTCATCCTCTGCCCCTCCTCGTCCTCCTCCTCCCCTTCCTCTTCCCCTCCGGATTGCTCTGTGCGTTATTGGGTTTATATAAATGGCCGTTTAGGCCATCTGGGGTTATCCGCACAGCGCCCTTGCCCCTTCGCCTCGTCCTCCCCCTCGTTCCTCCTCGTCCTCCTCGCAGGTTTTCGCTTGCATTTGCGGGCCGAATTTCGTGACACATATCCGTTGCGTGCTGGCGCGCCGAGGTACGATGTGGCTGCTCGCTCTTATCTGCTCATGTGCCATTCAAAAAAATGTTTCCTCCTTCCTCCCCCGCACCCTTCCGTCTCCCTCCTCCCCCACTTCGCTCACAAATCTTGCCATCTCCTCTTGGCCGTTTTGTTCGAAACAAGCTACGGATGGTGTCGCCGGAACTTCACAGAGTGCCAGCCCAGCAGCTTGCGTGCCGCGTCGAAGCTACGCTCCAGGTGCTGCGGGGTGCGCGGGCGACGTGGTGATGGTTTCCGCGGTCTGTGGCGGGCCCCGCAAAAAAAAGGTTTCGCAAGCTACTGATGTGCCCGTTGGCACGTTTTGTTGTATACAAGCGCTGTGTTGCACGGAAGCATTGTGGCGTGCGCAGGCGTTGTGGTGCACATGGTTGCTGTGGTGCACGCATGCGCTGCGGTGTGTACATGTGCTCTGGTCCACGCAGGCAACTTGGTGTACACAAGCGCTGTTGCGCACGCGGCTGGTGCAGTATACACAGATTTTGCGGCGTACATGGGCGACGTGGTGGCGTTGTGCACGCAGCTGTTGGGGTGTACCGAAGCAGTGTGGTGCGCTCAGGCGGCGTTGTCTTGCACGAGTGCATTTGGCATTCTTCACGCGCGCACGGATTGCAGCGCGCGGAGGAAATGGATGTGCCGATGGCGCGGACGCACCTTGGCGGGTGCACGCCGCTGTCGCCGTTACCGTTACCCGCCGGCCCCCGCCCCCGGGTAACAGGTTTTACCCAAATTAAGAAAAACAGTCTTCAACAAACAGAAACCTTTCCTTCCATCCCTTTTCCTCATTTTCCTCCTTTCCTCATCCTTCCTCCTTTCTCATGTCTCGTCTCTCACGTCCATCCTTTGGACATGTACCTCCGAAACAGCGCGTTCTGTAGACGCTGGGAAGGTGGGGGGGTCGAATCAGCCCCCCCCCATTGAGCTGCAAGGGAGGGGGGGTTCTAGAGGGGCAGAGGGTCTGAATTGCAAAGGGGCGGGGGGATGTTCGAACCGCCCCCCCCGCCCTCCCTCCGCAGTGGCAATCGATGACGGCGAGCGTTGGCTCCGGCGCCATCGCCGTCGGGCAGCGACGACCATGACGACGATCGAGCTTTGTTAGGATGCGACGAAGGATGGACTGAACTGTAGCAAGATTCTGTTAGGGCTGGACCGAGCCCCAGTAGGATTCAATTACACATTGCTCATTTCTAATTCTTCGAAAGTTTTTCGATTTTTTGGGGCCTAGATCCTTTCATTCTAACTGTTCTATGCTGGGCCTCTTCCTGGCCACTGGGGGGCCAGGAACATTTAGAAACGATCGCAATTAGAAATGAACACGGTTAGAAATGAACGACGTGTAGCATCATTCGATCTAGCCATAGTAGGATTATGTTCGAGCTGGATCGAGCCTTGCTATGATTCAGTTTGAGCTAGAACGGGTTATAGCAATATTCCCTCAGTGCTGGACGAGCTCGACTAGGATGTTGAAAAATTGGATCAAGATCCATGAACGAGCAAGAGCGAGCCCTGGTAGGATTCAATAACATGTGGATCCAGCTATAGTCGGGTTTTTAGTAAATTTGCATCGAGCATGCTATCCAAATTTGCTCCGCTTCTGGTAGGATCGTATTAGATCCAGTCCGAATACTAATCGGATTCTTTGGGGGGGAGGGGGAGGGCGGGGGAGCGGTTCGGCTCCCCACCCTTTGGGCAGGTGGGAGGTTAATGTTTATGCAGTTGTCTCTTTTTTTTCTCGGCGTCACCCCAACAGACTTATACTAGATGTGCGTCGCCGCCCAATGGGCGACGCGCGCACCGAGAAATCTTACAGTAGATGCGCCGTGGCGGGCGCTTTCTGGCGACACCGCTCGGGAAACGATATACTACACGATGGGTAATACTACAGGCGGCCCGGATTAGTAGGTCGACCCTGCCAGATCAAGGGTACCCTCGTGTCCTGCGTCTTGCGACCCATGCCTCGTGCATTTATGTGGCAACGTGGCCCTCGGAAGGGTCTTGTGTCCTCGCGTGTCCTCTCCGATCAAATCCGACTGTACATGTTCGGGTCGGACGCGCGCCTCCAAGGAGGACACGAAGTACCAGTATGTCGCTGTGCGCCCAATGCTGATCATTCGCTGGAGCCCGAGTCGCCCAGGAGGGGTGCTCCCCTGCTCCCCCCCCTCTCGCGCGCGTGGAGGCCGCGGAGGCCGCCCGGGCGCAGGCGCAGGAGCTGCGCGAGGCCGCGCAGCCCGTCGTCGCCGAGGTGGTCGCCGAGGCCGCCAGCCCCGCGGGTTGGCCGCCGGCGGGCGAAAGGTCGAGGATCAGCAAGGATCGTCGGTCGGGAGCCTTGAGACGGGGGTCAATGCCTCCTCTTCCTCCTCCTCCTCCTCCTCCTCCTCCCTCCTCCTCCTCCTCCTCCTCCTCCTCCTCCTCCTCCTCCTCCTCCTCCTCCCCCTCGGGGGTCAATGCAAACGGGGGTCAGCCAGAGCGCCCGATCTTGCAGGATCCTGCACGGCCAGGGTCGCATTGACCCGGGTTTGGGTGCAGGATCTTGCAGGATCCTGCAAAGCCTGACTGACTCGGGTCTGGACTGACCCGGTTCAGCAGATCCCCAGATCATCGGGGAGGGAGGGAGGTCATATGGGTGATCGAGGAAGGATCATCGTGGAGGGCGGATCATCGGGGAGGATCATCGGGGAGGGCGGGGGTCGAGGATCGTCGGGGATCATCGGGGCGGGGGGGAAGCTAGGTGCGTTGGCGTCATATCTGGCGTCCTACCCCTCCCTCCCATCCCTTGCCATGGCATGGGGTACTGGCGTAGCAGGTGGTACTGGGGATGAGGAGGTTCGACGAAGAAGAAGAAGAAGAAGAAGAAGAAAAAGAAGAAGAAGAAGAAGAAGAGGAAACGGCATAAACATACACTGTTGCCGCTCCGCGCGGATTTCTGGGATCTGCGCCGGGCCCCCCTGGCGGCGCCTCCGGCGCCGCCCCTAGCGCGCTCTGCACGCCAGGGAGGGAGGTCTGGCGCAGATCCGAGAAATCCGCGCGGAGCGCCAAAGGTTGATGTGTATGCCGTTTGTTTCTTCCTCTACATGTACCGACGCCTCTGCTCGTTCTGCCCGGTCCCAGGGTCGTCGAGGATAGGAGATCTATCGGGGAACGAGGGGCGGTGGGAGTCCAGGGGAGGGCCAGCCGAGATTCAACGGCGGCCCTCCCGGGCGGTGTTCGTCCTCTTCGGGCCTCCTGGAGGCGTCTCGTTGCCACGGCTGCATCTGTGTCGAGCAGCGGGTCAGAGTCAAGGTGGCCCCGGGAGTGGTCCGGAGACCGATTTTGAGCAGCTTTGGGCCAACTCGAGAGCCAGGGGTGGACCTAAACGGTGTTTTGGCGAATTCGTGGGCCGTTTTCGTTGCGATTTCGTTCTGCGGTGAAAGGCGACTCGAAGACAAAGCGAGGGGGAACGAAGACAGAACGAAGACGAAAAACACCGCTTAGGGTCAAGCCCTGTCGAGGACCGTTGTTGTCTCAGCTCGCCGTGCTCCGATAGGGGGGGAGGAGGGGGGGAGGAGGGGGGGAGGGGGGGGGAGGGAGGGAGGAGGGAGGGAGGAGGGAGGGAGGAGGGAGGAGGGAGGCCGAGGAGCGAGGGTCGAGGGTCGAGGTTCGGGGAGGGAGGGAGGGAGGGAGGGCGGAGGGTCGAGGTTCGGGGAGAGGAGGGAGGGAGGGAGGGAGGGAGGGAGGGAGGGAGGGTCGAGGTTCGGGGAGGGGGAGAGCCAGAGGAAGCTCAATCAAGGTGGATCGACGATGCTGCAGTGCGCCCGCGCGTCCCAGGGCATCCTCCTCACGGTTACCCCCCTGCCAGGATCCGTGCCTGCTCGCTTCGGGAGAAGCGTCCCTTCGAAGACGACCGCCCCATGGTCCTGCAATCCACGCGAGGGCCCCGTCCTCAAAAGGAGCTGCCATCCATGCTTCTGCTTCTAATTCGGGTTAAGTCGGGCCTGTCCCTGTACAGGAGGAATATTCAAAACTAGTCAAATATATTCTGGGGACGACCCTTTCAGTATTTTCGATCACTTTTTGATAATGTTTGGTCTGTTATGCCCGAACTAAAACTACGGACGACGACGGGGTCTGGTTATACAGCTCAAGGAAGTGCCAAGCGAGAGCCCCCACCTGAAGAAAGGCAGCCTGCAATCCGCGCCGGTTCCCCAAGCTGTGCTCGCACCTGGGGCTTCTTACGTCTCTGATCCAGGTGCTCGGATGGTTTTGTCACGGATTCGCCCCAGCGCGGGAGGTCATGGTGTGGCCACCCGTGCGAAACTGACCTCGGGACAGACACCAGGGGCTACGAGGGTCCATTTCACCGAGGGAATTGCCCCGCTGGGGGACAACCGATAAAAGTCCTGAAGCGCGCCAGACCACCATTCTCAGGACTCCAGTGCCACGAGTTAACCTGACTGGCGCGTCTTGGCGATCCTGAACCCTGCCAGAACGCCATTCCTGGGACATCAACACCGCGAATCAGCGTCACCGTTGCGCTCTGACAGTCCTGAACCGTTCCAAAACATCATGTCTGTCACGTTCGCAATGAGAGCCAGGGAAGCTCTTGCAAATGTTTTCAACGAGTGTGCGCGGCGTTCAGGCAAGAGGCACATTTTGGAAACGGCCCGCCCTCAATCCGTGAAGCCTTTTTCAAACTTTCAAACAAATGTGCGCGGTGCTAAAGGCGAGAGCCATATTTTGAAAGCGGCCCGCCCTCAATCCGTGAAGCTCTTATAAACTTTTGGAATCGACTTTGCGCGCGCTGAGGCGCCCGCCACTTTTTACTAACCACCCGCTCTTAATACATAAACTCTTGAGAGTGTTTACAACACATGCTCGCGTCGCTAAGGCGATAATCACATTTTAAAACGACACGCCCTCAAGCCGTGACTTTCCGAGAGCCGCATTTTGATAACCACCCACCCTCCGTTTGCGAAGTTGTTGGCAACATTCAAGCTTCAGGATCATAAGTTGTGCGGAAGTCTCAAGCGAAACGCCCAGCCCGCCCTTTCGACCGGCCTCGGGGTGCGACAGGAAGGAATTATCCATAAGGAAAAGGAACGGAATGGAGGAGGAGGGGGGGAGAAGGAGGAGGAGAAGGAAAAGAGGAGGAGGATGAGGATGAGGATGAGGTTGATGATGATGATGATGAGGAGGAGGAGGAGGAGGAGGAGGAGGAGGAGGAGGAGGAGGAGGAAGGGGAGGAGGAGGAGGAGGAGAAGGAGGAGGAGAGGAGGGAGGAGGAGGAGGAGAGGAGGAGGAGGAGGAGGAGGAGCAGGGAGAGGAGGGAGGAGGGAGAAGGGAGGAGGGAGGAGGAGCGCAGCCGGAACAGCCTTCCGAGGGAACACGGGGGGCCCCCTGGCCCCACCGCCCTCAGGGGTCCCCTGGGGGGGCTGCGGAGCCTCCCGTCCCCGATGCCCCTGGGGTCTGGCGCTGGCGGCGGCTAAATTTTCCCACCGGGCCCCTGGGCAAATTCCTGTTCGGAGTGGCCCGGAGCAGCGCCGGGCATAGTGTCCCCGCGCGCCATTGTTGCGGCCCTGTTGCGCTGTGCTTCAAACGCGGGAAGCGAGAACGAGGAAGGAGGAGGAGGAGGAGGAGGAGGAGGAGGAGGAGGAGGAGGAGGAGGGCGACGGAGGGAGGGAGAGAGAGAGGGAGGGAGGGAGGAGGGAGGAGGAGGACGAGGAGTGTCTGTGGTAAGAGGCGGGGGAGGAGGAAGAGGAGAAGGATGGCGGCGGGCGACCCCCGCGCGCGTGACCCCACCCGTGGCTGGCTTATCGAGGTGCAGGCCATCGGCGAGGACATCCACAGCGGGGCGCGTTGGCTGACCCAGCAATCGCAGGACTGGGCGCCAGAGGAGAGGGCGAGGAGGAGGAGGATGAGGAGGAGGGGAGGAGGGGGAGGAAGGGAGGAGGAGGAGGAGGAGGAGGAGGGGAGGATGAGGAGGAGGAGGAGGAAGGAGGAGGAGGGGGAGGAGAGGAGGGAGGAGGAGGATGAGGATGAGGAAGAGGAGGAGGAGGAGGAGGAGGAGGAGGAGGAAGAAAAAGAGCATAAACGGGGGCACGAGCAGGAGAAGGGCGAGGAGGACGAGGAGGATGAGGATGATTATGATGATGGATGATGATGATGATGAGGAGGAGGAGGAGAGAGGAGGAGGACGAGGAGGAGGAGGAGACGGAGGAGGAGGAGGAAGAGGAGGATTGTGGTGGTGAGACTGATGATTGATGAGAGATGATGATGATGATGATGATGTGATGATCATGTTGAGGATGATGATGCTGATGATGATGATGATGATGATGATGACGATGACGATGATGATGATGATGATGATGATGATGATGATGATGATGATGATGATGATGATGATGATGAGAGATGATGATGATGATGCTGATGATGATGATGATGATGATGATGATGATGATGATGATGATGATGATGATGATGATGATTCTGCTGCTGATATGGAGGAGGAGGAGGAGGAGGAGGAGGAGGAGGAGGAGGAGGAGGGAATGGGCGAGGAGACGCCTTCACTGCCTACGGCACGACCATATCAGCACTAGCACTACCTGACGAGAAAGCCTGCACACCGACTCCCGACCCCTTTCTGCGGCGCGAGCTCCAGCGGCTTCCGACCACAACCGAGAGCTCCCAAACCTTCTCTCCGCCTTGAAGGGTCTCCTCGTGACCTGCCACGCACGGCCCGGCCACCTGGTGGGCAGGGGACCCCCGCGGTGCGGGTGCGCCTCGACTCCTGGAGCCGCTCCTCCTGTGCTCCGCCCCGCTCCGCTTCTACTTCGAGCGCTGTGGGGCCTGGCCGCGGCCGCCTCGCCCCCACCCCCGCTGGACCTCCAGGGGCAGCCGGGCAGAGGGGGAGGAGCTGGGGCCCTCGCCTCCGCTGGCGTCTCGGCAGCCCCCTCGGCGGACCACCACTTGCTGCCCCCCTTCGGCCCCTCGGCGTGCCCGCCCGCCCGCCCCCGCCCGGGTGGTCCACTCTGCTGAGGGGGTCCGCGCGCCGGCTGGGCCGCCGCCCCACGTCGCGTCCCTCGTGCCCCTCCTTCGCTCGCTCGGTCCCTCGGTTCGCTCTCCTTTTCGGCCCCCCTTCGCGTCATCTCCTTCTCGTCCCGCTCGCCGGCCCCGCCAACGGCCGTCGAGCCGTTTTCCCTGGGACTCCTCTTCGCACACCAAACTGCGGAGCGGGAGGGGGGGGGGGTGGATGGGGGCGACGGCTGCACCTACGTAGACGCAAGACGCAGGCCGACAGCCCGAGCCTAAGGGCGAGGACGAGCAAGAGGAGGGGGCGAGAAGGATCAGGAGCAGGAGGAGGAGGAGGAGGAGGAGGAGGAGGAGGAGGAAGAGAAAGGGGTGAAGCTAGGCAGGTGGTCGTCGACGATCCTCCCCTCCCCTCTCCCCCGGGGGCGCTGGGGCACTTGCGGGCGGGAGCTTTGGGGGTAGCGCGCCGCTCCGCCGGTTCTGACCCACCGCGCCTCGGCGCGCCACGCTCTCCGCGCGCCCACGCTCGACGAGCCTCTCCTGCGGCAGCTCCCCGCCGAGCAGGGAGCGCAGCGGCGCGCGCTCGCCGGAAGGTTCCCCGGCCGGAGCTGCCTCGCACCCCGGGGGGGCTCCTCCCTGCGTTCGTTCCGGCAGTGCGTATCATTTCTCTTTCTGCAGATTCTAGGTTGCGCCCCTTCCTCCTCTCCTCCTCCTCCTCCTCATTCTCCTCCTCCTCTCCTCCTCCTCCTCCTCCTCTCCTCGTCCTCCTCTTCCTCTCCTCCCTCCTCCTCCTCCTTTTTCTCCTCCTCCTACTCCTCCTCCTCCTCCTCCTCCTCCTCCTCCACCTCCTACTCCTCCTCCTCCTCCTCCTCCTCCTCCTCTCCCCCAGGGGTAGTGGCCATTGGCGGGTGGGGATGGTTGCGTTTAGGACGAGTGCGGCAGTCACCAGCGTGAGCTTGAGGAAGAGGAGGGGGAGAAGGGGGGGAAAGAGGAGGGAGGAAAGAGGAAGGAACAATGAGGGCAGAGGATGATGGGGAGGAACAGTGAGGAGGATGTGAGGCAGCGTGGAGGAATAGGATGGTGACGAGGAGGATGAAACGCAGGCGGACCAACAGGAGTGTGATACGGCTCCAGGCGGCTTGTTTTATGAGGTCGGCGGCGGTGGGTAGCGTTCCAGAACGCTCTCAAAGCGTTCCGGAACGCTCTGGGAAGGCGGCGGCGCCCGAGACGTTCTCCAGAGCCGCCGGATCTCAGAGATTCTCGACTTATCCTCACTCGACTTTATCCTCGCCCTGGCCTCGTCTAAGCTCGGCGCCCGTGCGGCGTCGGCCTCGCGCGGAGCTTCGACGGCAGGCCAGGCCGCCATCCTACAGCGGGCGCCTGTGGCGCTAAGGGCGCGCAGCTGCTCGCCCATCGGTGGCGCTCTCGGCACGCAGCTGCCCGCGGCTCTGCCCTCGCAGTGGCGCTGCGCCGCTCTTCCGTCAGCCCCCGTGGGAGGGTCCGCATGGCGCCGCCGCGCCCAGTTCGGCACACCCCTCTCACGCTTCGTGGTTGCATAGGGGCCTCCGCCAGAGGCCTCAGTGGAAGGGTTCGCGTGGCGCCGCCGCACCCATTTCGGCACACCCCTCGCGCGTTTCGTGGCTCCAGATGCAGCTCCACAGAAGGCCCCGGTGGGAGGGTTCGCATGGCGCCTCCGCGCCCACTTCGGCACACTTCTCACCTGCCTCGCAACACCTCGCAGCTGCATGTGGATGGTTCCCTCGCCAGGGTAATCTCAGTCGGGCCTATCGCCATGGACTTGCCGAAACAGTGTGGGCGCGACGAGGCCGAGCGCTTGCTCGGCGTGCCAATCGGCCCGGGTGGCCAGCGGCGCCAGCTCGTCCTCGCAGCGTGCGGACGGCCGCCGAGACCGGCCAAAGCCACCACGCGCTCATGCCTGCGATGAGCGGTTCCAGCGCCAGGGCCGTTGCAGCGGTCATGCACTCTCCTTGCCTTTGTCGGCCCCGGTCGGCAGTCCGCCGCGACTCGAATGCGCAACCCTGCGCAGCTTTTGAGCCAAGCTTGCTACTGACTTGGTGTTGTGTACGATAATGTAAATTATAATGCTGTTGATGACGATGATGAGCATGATGGTTATGATGTTGATGATGACGACGATGACGAGGATGATGATGACGACGATGATGATGATGATGATGATGATGATGATGATGATGATGATGATGATGATGATGATGATGATGATGATGATGCTGACGGTGAAGATGACGATGACGATGACGATGATGAGGATGGTGGTGGTGGTGGTGGTGCTGATGTTGATGGTGATGCTGCTGTTGCTGATGATGCTCATGATGCTGAGAGCGAGTAGGCATGCGCCCACTCTACATTCGGCAGTGGTGGATGATACACAATTGTGATGATGGCGATGCTGAGTATGATGATGATTATGATGATGATGTTGACGGTGATGAGCCTGATGTCGGTGATGATGGTTATGAGGATGACGACGACGACGATACTGATGATGATGATGTTGATGCTGATGATGATGCTGATGATGCTGATGATGATGAGGATGATGATACTGGTGATGATGATGATGATGATGATGATGATGATGATGATGATGATGATGATGATGCTGATAATGATGATGATGATGATGATGCTGATGATGATGATGATGATGATGGTACTGATCATGATTAGGATGTTGTTTACGATACTGTTGTTGATGATGGTCATGATGATTATGATGATGATGTTGCTGATGTTGATGATGCTGATGATGCTGTCGATGATGCTGATGGTGATACTGATGTTACAGATGATCATGATGCTGATTATGGTTGTGTTGATGATGTTGATGATGATGATGCTGATGATGTTGATCATGTTGATGCTTATGCTGATGTTGGTGGTGATGATGATGATGATGATGATGATGATGATGATGATGATGGGGATGCTTATTGCAACTGTGATGGTCGCTGTTCGCTGCCCACAGCTCGGCCTGACAGCAAGTAGGCCGGCTCGAACTTGAGGCCATGGCCAGAGCTTCCCTCACCGATGACGAGAAGCGGTTCCTCTACCACAATGGTTGCGTGGTGGTCCGTGGAGCGGTCGATCCAGAGCTTGTCGAGCGGGTTCGCGAGGCCACTCGACACTTCGAGTCTGACCCCGACTCGTTCCCAGAGAAATATGGCACCCCCTTCATGCACGCAAGCGCTCCAGTTCTTGACGTTCTCAACAAGTCCTCCCTCGCACCGATTTTGCGGGAGGTCATGGGCGATTTTGACCTGCCCACGGCTGGACAGTACATGCCGACGCGTGTCACGACAGAGCGAGATTTGGACAGCTACACGATCCTCGGCTACAAAAACGGCGACATGCCTTACCGAGGATCGTCCCTGCACATCGATGCCGTCACCATCATATCTTCGCTCGGCCACGAAGTGCAAGAAGGCAGCGAGGAGGACATCTACGAGCGGTGGCTGGCGTCCGGCCCAAAGGGCGACATCGGCCGCTGCGCCGAGGTGGTCGGACACAACAACGTCCCCCTGTTCATGGACCCCGAGATGACGCTCGGGGTGTCCTCCTTCACCTGCTTCGTCTGCGTGGCCTGCAGCGACCAGCTCGAGGAGGGCGTCGGGCAGACGATGGTGGTGCCCGGAGGCCACTTCTCGCGGAAGCAACAGCCGTGCAGCACGGATCGTCGAGGGCCCGCGCGCATCTCTCAGGTCGGCGCTGGACCCCCCCCGGCGGCGCCTCCAGCGCCGCCTCGAGGCGCCCTCCGCGCGCCCGGTGGCGGGGGGTCCGGCGCCCCTGCAAGAGCTCACCGCGGACCTCCGACAGATTGTGCCCATGCCGGCGTTTTCTTCCGCCCGCCCTCGCGCTGGAGCGGTTCTTCCGCTGGCAGGCGAGCCAGGGCGCCGCCCTGGGCCCCGAGGGCCCTGGCTGGCCGCGGCTGGACCACCGCGCGCCGAACCGCTGCGGCCACGTCTTCCTGCCGCCCCGCGTGTGCGAGGAGCTTCTGGCCGAGGACTCGGAGGGAGGAGACGCGATACCAGCACCACCAAGGGGGCGAGGAGGTCCACGATGCCTCCCCGAGCTGGAGGCTGGGGATGTCTCGAGCGAGAGGGGGGGGAGCCACACCACCAGGGAGAGATCCCCCTCGCCTCCTCGCGCCTCCTCGCCCTGGTGGTGCGGGTGCCGCCTCTCCTCGTCCCCGAGGACCCCCGGCCCCCCGCGCGCACCGCCGACGGGAGGCCTTGGGTCGTGCCCACCCCCGTGAACCTGCGGAGGGGCGACGCGCTCATCCTGGAGGGCAAGAGGGCGGCACGGCCGGCTGCCCGCGGCAGGGCCCGCCGCCCCGACAGCGCAGCGCTCCGCGTGGCCACGCCTGCAGGAGGCGGAGCGGGCAGGAGCTGCCGCTCCGCACGCCTCGGCGCGACGCGGCATCCGCTGCCCAGGACACCCGGCGTCCGCGTCCCGAGCTCTTCCCGGCCTCCCGCCCCGCGGAGCGGCACGCCATCCGCACGGCATGGCACAGCGTGCCGCCCGGGGCGCCGCCGCGGCACGCGGAGCAACAGCTCCCGACCGTGACATGTGGCGCACTGCAGCAAGGGTCCCGCCTGCTGCACATCCTCGCCTTTGGCGGCAGCCGGCGGCAGGGAAGCGGCGGCGGATCCGCCAGCGGAAGGCGGCGGAAGCAAAAGTGAGACTTCAACATGTTTGGATGCAGGGTTTCGGAGTCGGCCGAGCCTTGTCGTTTCTCTTCCCTGAGAGGCTCTCACGAGGCCTCCCTGGAATGTCTGGGGCTGCCTTGGGCTCCTGCGGGGCTGTCTTGGCGCCCTCTTGGAGACCTCTTGGGCCTTGGGCGGTCCTAGCGCCCGTTTGGGCCGTCTTGGTGCCGTCTTGGGCGCCTCGCGGCGACGGTGGGGGTCTCGGGGCTGTCGTGGGGGCCCATTGGGGCCCTCTCGGGCCACCCTGGGTTTCTTGGGCTGACCCGGGCCCCTCTTGGGCCGTCTTGGGGCCCAGTTTGGGTTAGATAGGACCGTGTGGGGGGCCGCTTCGGGCCCGCAGGTGATTTGCTGGCATCCTTCTGCCTCCTCGTGGGCTCTCTTTGAACCATCTCGAGGTCAGAGGGCTGGGAAGCGCAAAGCCCGACGGTTTTCGAGTGATTCTGGCCTTCCCAGAAGGCCTCCTGGCCCCTCTCCCTGGCGTCTCGGAAGCCTCTCGGCGCCTCTTCGGCGCCTCGCGAGAGCTCTTTTTGGGGGGGCTGCTGGTGTGGCTCTCGAGGCAGCGCCGCGCCGTCCTGGCGGCAGCGAGCGTGGCAGCCTCGGCGGGATGTGGACATCGCCCCAGGGACGCATCGGGCCATCCGGAGACTGCCGGGAGGTGGGATTAGGCTCAAGTCGGGCCTGTCCCTTCTACAGGAGGAAAATTCAAAAATTGGAAATATTTTCCGTGGACGATTTTGTGTCTATTTTTTATTATGTAATCGCTTCGCTCATTCCGCCGGCCCTCGAGCGCTCTATGGGGCCTCTTTGAAGCCTCTTGGGGGCCTCTCTGGGGCCTCCTAGGGGCCTCTTGGGGGCCTCTTGGGGGTCTCTTGGGGCTCCTTGGCGGCGTCTTGGGGCTGGGGCCCCCTTGGGCCTCTTGGGGGGCTCTTGGGGGTCTCTTGGGGCGGGGTAGTCGAGTGCACCCCCCTCGGAGGCCACGATCCTCGTGAGGGGTGTCGAAAAAAGGCCCTCAAAACCATCTCTGAGTAGACCTACTCGGGCTGCGGTCGGGATACTTTTCGCCGGGGGACCCCCAGAAGCCACCCCACGCGCGCGAACTAGAAATATTGTTAACCAGTTACCGGAGATCTTAGCACGCCTCTGGCCCATTGGGCCGGCGATTTTTTTGTGTATGTTTTTTTGTTTTTTGTTTTCTCATTTTTCGTCCAAAATCCCCCTGTAGGGGATACGCCCGACCTAAAAGTAAGGCCGGCGAGAGGGGTGGGGCCAAGATTTGAAATGCAGTGGAGACCCATGTCAAGAGACACCCTGCTTGCCTCCAGGGTGCCCTAGGCTTCTTGGGTTTCGATGGTTCTGCGATGGAGAGCGTGACGTCCCCACGCCAAAAATCGACCGACGCCCGGGAGTCTCTGGGTTGGGTTTCTTGCGGAAGGTTTCTGGTGGACTGGCCTCCACTGCATCTACAGGGGCCTTACGAAACAGCACTTGGTATTGTGAAGGCCTTGCGGCTGGTGCCGCTGACCCTGAAGAGGACGACGAGGATGACGAGGAGGAGGAGGAGGAGGAGGAGGAGGAGGAGGAGGAGGAGGAGGAGGGGGAGGAGGAGGAGAAGGAGGGGGGGGCGGGGGACGCGGTGGAGCAGCAGGAGGGGGAGAAGGAGGATGCGGAGGAGGACGAGGAGGGGGAGCTGGACTTTGTATTCTTCGACCGTGCCTCAACTGGCCAAGGGGCACGGTGGCGAAGACTTACACCTTCGGAGGTCCACACACACAGACTGCTTGGGTCAGCGCTGGGCCCTACTTCTCCGGCACGCTTCGCGCGCCAGGAGCGGCGCCTCGGAAGACGCCAGGGGGGTGTCAATCAGCTTGGTATCGCTCGGACGTGTGCGTTTGCACTCGGCAGGGACCATCGAGGAGCATTCTGTGCCATCCTGCGAAAAACAACACGCACGAATCCGAACAATGCACGGGGAGTGGACGTCCAAGCGATGGTGAGTCAGCGGTGACCCAGGGAATCCACGCGGACCTGCGACAGTTCAACGCGCGTGCCGCTTGTTGCTCTCCGATCGTTTGCCTGCACTGCCTGCCGCACACCATGAGCCGGAACGACAGCGGCACCGAGAGCCGAAAGCAGGTCATCTTCCGCCTGCGCAACAAGAGGCAGCAGCCGCGAATCGTGCACGAAGGACTCTCTCCCTGTCCCGACCGCACGCTGCTCGGAGGCTGGAGGGAGTACGAGGCTGGGAACGACCCGTTCGCTCGGTCGCGGCACCACCTCTTGAACATGTGGGACAACTGGGACGGCATGCAGGAGGTGGTGGCGCGCGAGAGCCATACCGGAGGGCGCCAACTGTCACACCTGATTGCATTGATCGTGGCCAGGCCAATCCTGGGCCCAGGATCGGTGCACCCATGCGCCCTGCTGGCTTGGCCAGGAAGGGACTATCTTCGCCGATCCTGGTCGCAGGATCGGCCTGGCCAGGATCGGTGCAGGTGGACACAGTTGGCACCCTCCGGCCGGAGGGTGGTCGACGTGGCGCTATCGCGCGAGGAGGCCCGCAGAGTGCTCACGAGCACGCCGGCATCGGCACTCTGACACCTGCCTCCTGTGGTACACGTGGGCTTTGGGCAGCGTGCCGCAGGGGCCGGGGCGGCATTCTGAGAGGGTCGGGCCGGGCGAAAGGGGGGGATTGGGAAAGGGGGGGGGTACGAAATTTGCTGCATGCAGCTGGTTTCGGCCTCACCGAGGGGCCCATTCCTCGATACATGGCCGCCTCCGGCGCCGGGAGGCGCCGGGAAAATCAGCTGCGTGAGCTGATTCTCAAACCCCCCCTTTGCTATCCCCCCCTTTCGCCCGACCCGAGAGGGCACTCCTCTTCGCGGATGCTCTCGGGCCTCCTATAGGAAGCCTTCCTCGGAGTCCCCGAGGCGGCGCGCGACCCTTCTTGAGAGCCCCCCTGCCTTCGCAGAAGGCCCCGCCTCGCTCGGCCGCCTCCTGCGCGACGCGCTGCCGCGACATGGGTCGAGCGTGCTGCGGGTGCCGCGCACCGCGGATGCCCTGCGTCTCTGCCGCTGCGGGCTCGGCGCACG